AGGACCCACGAGAGAATAATAAGGGCACACGAGTGAACAATAGCAGGACCAACAAAAGAACACTCAGCCTATCCAGGCTGTAACAGCAGGGCCAGCTGATACAAGAGAACAAGCAGGAGTCAAAACTACAGAATATAAAAATTTATTAGAATATTGAATTGTAATAGGCTAGTAGCCATCAAATCTTATGATAAATTAATAATTTTATACAGTCACTTAATACTTTTGTGAATTACAAAAAATTGGACAAAGATATTGTAATGGTATAAGTAAACTAAAGGCCTTTCTACACTATCACTTCTAATGCGCATTGAACTGGTTTGGAACCGGTTCCAGTCATTCCACACCTGATGTGCATTGACTTCAATGGCATTAAGCCAAACCACCTCCATATGTGGTTTGAATGCGCATTCAATAGATAACCAATGGCAGCTGGATCAGAAATACTATCAAAATATACATGATCCTGAAGATAGTGTGGAATCACTTGATGCACATTCAAAGTGCATTGATGAGCTGACTTCTGGAACTGGTTCAAGTGTAGAAAAGCCTTAATAGTGTGCAGTACAGAATGATTCATACACATACAGTACATGTAAATACAATTAATAATTCTTGAGGCAAGAACTACATGTACTGACTTCACCAGAAAGAGCTTAAATAATAACACAACATTTTAAAAAGTAGAACATAACACAGGAGTAAAGTAGCAGTAATGTTACAGGGAAATTAACTGGCAAAATATGCTGTTTGCATTATAACTTGAAGAGAATTCATACATGCAGGTGATAATGATAAAATAAACAAACTCACCCACACAGTGCATTTTTGGTGTTATGATGGTCTAGCATATATATATATATATATATATATATATACACACCAAATAAAAACCCACCGCTTTGAACTTCATGCATGCCAGTACACATGCATACCAGTATTATCACTACGACATGATGTAAATGCACATGATCAGAAATTGGAAAACCAACCATCACTACTATAAAAAAAACTTTGTTTCCACTTCTAAAATTACCAAGTATACAGCACATTTACACATACCCGTTGGAGTGGCATAATCTTATACTAAAATATTTTTACACAGTATGAATTTATGGTGGCTGGGGCTGTGGCCCCATGCAAGCCGTACAAGCATCAATATTACATCGGAGCTAAAACTAACTCACCTCCTAGACACCATATATTGATACAGTATCCCCAAAGAGAGGTATCAAGGCGGCTGGCAAGGCGACATTTACACGGTCACACTGGCCCGAGTGCCCTTGACATGTCTTCTCGCGAGCACGTGCTGTATAATTAATGGATGGGTGGAATAATGAATACATGATGCGGGAGTATGCGGGCGGGTAATGGGAAACAAGGAATCATATGGGAGAGGCCTTATCTGTACTATACATTATTTTACATAATAAGAATAATAATCATAATAATATTAATAATTTTTTTAAAATGACTCCAAAATCACCCCAAATTTTTATTACATTTCCTGATACATATTGATGCACTTATGCTGTGTACATTATTCAGACAAATATATTTTGAGTTATGGCCATTTTAAGGAATTGGCCAAATTTTGAAAAATATCCAAGACTGTATATAGCCCATGGTTTCTCCCAAAAATGGCTCCAAAATCACTCTAAATTTTTATTACACTTTCTGATACATATTTATGTACTTATGCTGTGTACAAAGTTTGAGTTGATTCTGAAAAAGATTCTTTGAGTTATGGCAATTTTTTAAAATTAGCCAATTTTTGAAAAGTACCTAACACTATAGCACATTGTTTTTTCCAAAAAATGGTTCCAAAATCATCCCAATTTTTATTACATTTTTGATACATATTGATGTACTTATGTTGTGTAGAAAGTTTGAGTTGATTCTGACAAAAAATGCTTGAGTTACAACAGTTTTAAAAAATTGGCCAATTTTCAAAAAGTACCCAAGGCTATAGCCCATGGTTTTTTAATAAAAAATGGCTCCGAAATCACCCCAAATTTTTATTACAATTTCTGGAACATACTGATGCACTTATGCTGTTTAGAAAGTTTGAGCTGATTTTGTCAAATATTTTTTGAGTTATGGCCATTTTAAAAAATTGGCCAATTTTGAAAAGTACCCAAGGCTATAGCCCATGGTTTTTTTTTTAAAGGCTCCGAAATCACCCCAAATTTTTATTACATTTTCTGGTACACATTGATGTACTTATGCTGTTAAGAAAGTTTGAGCTGATTCCGACAAATATTTTTTGAGTTATGGCCATTTTTAAAAATTAGCCAATTTCTGAAAACAACCAAGGCTATAGCCCATAGCTTTTTCTGAAAAATGGCTCAAAAATCACTCCAAATTTTTATTACATTTTTAGATACATATTGTTGTACTTATGCTGTGTAGAAAGTTTTAACTGTTTCCGACAAATATTTTTCGAGTAACAGCATTCAGAAAAATTTGCCAATTTCATTAAGACTTTGACCCAATTTTTGAACAACCGTAAAATTATTAAGTTATTGTCTCCTAGTTATTATACTACATTACTTACAATTACTCATAAGTCCAGAGCCTTCAGCCTCAACTTCAGCAGCCTAGACTGAAAATAACATGATATCAACTCAGTATTACATTAATATTATATAAAAGGATCAGTAATTCTTAAATAAACTTACAATGGAGCCTTTAGTTCATTATCCATGGACATAGAGCTTCCTACATTTCCTTAAATGTATTTTTAATTTAGCCCACATTTACACGACTACATTTTAAACAAAAATGGAAATATTTTTGGCCGGGTTTACACTGATATCAAATCCAAACAAAATAAAAACAAATACTAAAAGGAATAATTCTATAAATAAATGATAAATTCTAATGACAATGCAGCTGCTGGATTAGTGTAAACACCTGAAACAGGAATTAAAAAAATGATGTGGTGGAGTCGTGTAAACATGACCTTATTTTTAAGAATTATTTTTAATAACAGCATAGTACAGAGTATCATTAAAAATATAAACATTATAATTATTTGTATAATAAAAAATTAATGTCAATAACTTTAAAGTACTAGTTTATAATTTAGTTCAATTCATTAGGTTACTAAATAATGCAACAGCAATAGTAATTTTAAAAAATAAATAATAATAATAATAATAATTAATTGGCTAAAGAGAGGAAGGGGATTGTTAGGATGTGAGAGAAGTATAAAAGCTGAAGAAAACAGTCTTGGTTGGTATGTTAAGAAATCAGTAGGACCGTTATTAAAAGTAGTTGGAAGAAGTAAGATCTTAGATGTAGAGGGAAGTATGCCAAAGGAAAGTTATAAACAAAACAACTAGAGATGGTAGCAACTGAAGAAAGATGGATATGAATAAGAATGTATGGACAGTATTACAGAGAGATGAGAGAAGGAGCAGATATACACAAGACATGGACATGGTTACAAAAGAGTGATATAAAACCAGAGACAGACAGAGGCTCTTATTTGTGCAGGACAAGAACAGGCATTGAGACTAACTATATTAAATGTAAGATTGATGGTTCCAATGAGTCACCATTGTGTCATTTATGTAGAGAGAAGGTGAGAGTGTATACTACATTGTAAATGAATGTAAAGAGCTAGTTCAGAGAGAATACAAAAGGAGACATGACAAGATTGCTCAGTTCATCCATTGGGAGCTATGTGGGAAATTTGATATGGAAAGAGGGAGGAATTGGTATGATCACAAGCCTGAGGGGATAATTGAAACAGTTGAAGTAAAGATATAATGGGACTTTATGATTCAGTGTGACAGAATGGTTGAACATTGCAAGCCAGATATTGTAGTTGTTATGAAAAGGAAGAAGAGGTGTATGATTATAGATGTGGCAGTTCCAGGTGATACTTGAGTCGAAGGAAAGGAAGATGAAAAAGTTGAGAAATATCAGGAATTGAGACAGAAAATTGTGAAGCTATGGGGGATGAAGAAGGTGGAAGTAATACCAATTGTAGTTGGAGTGATGGGGGCAGTATCATACAGGATTAGTGACTGGTTAAAAAGGTTGGAGATTAACATCAAAGTAGAGCACATACAGAAGACTGTGTTATTGGGATCTGCACAAATTCTGAGGAGACATTTAAATATGTAATTGTGTATCATAGTCTGTTGGTTATGGACTGATACTGAGTTTTGTACCAACTTGTTAGTTGTGATTATATTAAATAATAATAATAATAATAATAATAATAATAATAATGATAACAACACACATTGACAAAAATACTTTATATTTTTAATAACAGATGTCATTAAAAAGTAAATCTTATTAAGAATTGTTAATTAAACTTTAAAAATTAGTTATTTTTGGTTTAATAGCTAGCTCACAAAATATTAAAATTAACAACAACGACAATAATAATAATAACACACATTGACAAAAATAGTTATGATAGTAATTAATAAAAGTGTTACTAATGATAAGTAATATCAATGCATATAAACACATTCAATAAAACTTAATGCATAAAAGCTATGGCATGTAAAAGAAATTTCATTTCAATAAAAAGTGGAGCAGAAACAAGTACACAAACTATAAATGCTCATAAACAATACAACATAATATACAATACAACAATGAATGATTTATATTAACAAAAATAAGAATAACAAACCAGAGGAAAACATCATAATGCTGCATATTCTATAACAACTACCAATAGAAATAATAAAATTAATAAATACTGAGCATTGCTTTACTATAAAAAACATCATCAAAAATAAAAGAATTGCCCTGCTACAAAAATGTTAAAAAATTACCTAACAAGAAGTCTCCATAATTCTTGAAGGTATTAAAGTTAACGAGAGAGAGATTTGATGCCATAGTGTTAATATAATGAAGAAAGGAAACAATTGAATGTGTTTGTGTAGAAGTGAAGGTGTAGCAGAGAATGAGTGTGAAGTGGTGAATTGGTAATACGTACAAAAGAATTGAAACAATTCCAACAAAAACGAACAAAAAAATGAAAACGAATGAAAAAAACAAAGTACAACAATGACAATTACAAGAAAGCAATCTATTTTATGTAGTAATATAGTTTAAAGTTTAAGAAGATAAAAATGAAGGACGAGGTTTAGTAGCTATTGGTACTAGCTGTCTTTTCTCAGCCTCATCGACAAATTCACGAACTAATTTTGATAAACTAATTCTAGCCTCAAGAAACTTAACAATAGACTCAGCATTGACTGACCTAGCACCATCAATGTCTCCTTGAACAGGAACCAAATCAAATTTATCAATTAAAATACGAACCAATTCTAAGTTACCACTTCTACAAGCAAAATATAATAATCCTTTGGAGCTGTTCGTTAGAACATTCTTATCACATTTTAGATTACTTAAGTAATGTGATACAAGTTGAATGTTACCACCTCGACAGGCAGCATGAACACCAGTGAATCCATTACTGTCTTTGTCTTCAGGATGAATATTAAAAGATTGAACCAGATACACTGACATCTCATAATGTCTGCCAGCGTAATGAAGTGGAGACCGACCAGCTTTATCCTTAGGAGTTGGATTATTCCTAACACGAGGTACAAGATACTCGTATATCTCTTTATCTCCTTGCTTTGCTATTATGTGTAGACATGTCACTCCATCTTTATCCTGTGACTCTGGATCAAGACCATGTGATTCCACTAGGAATTTGATCAGATCCTTATTACCACTCTGAGCAGCTCCATGAAGCAATCCTTCCTTATTATT